CTTTGAGTATATTCGTTGGTGATTCTGCTGATGGAGAGAAATTTGCTAAGGAAATGGGACCTGAATGGATGAAAGAGTTAGCTCAAGGTTTCGAGGATATATGCGATAAAGCTTTGCCTTCTACTACTTATGATGCCATTGTGGATGCTTATGAAACCAATCTCATGGTAAAGTTTCTTTTCTCTAATGATTGTCTTGAAAAGTTTACGACTTTACAGAGTATTAGTATTAGTGCATTCGCAAGAAGGGAGATCTTATAATATCGATTTTTGATGTGCTATAATGTGGTTATAACATACAATAGAGAGACTTGGTTTTGGCATTAAAGTGTAGAAGTTTGTTGACTTGAAAGTGTTTGGTTGGTTGGCTTTGCATTATAATGGATGTTGAGTCTCTAACTTTTTTTTCTGTTTCTCTCTTATTGCTTTTTAGATTGAGTGTGAACCAGAGTACATTATGCCGGACTTTGGATCGAATCCTGATATTGATGAGAAACCGCAAATGCCTCTGTGTGAGTGTATTGAGAAGGTGAAGCCTTTCATAGTGGCTTACGAGGGAATCAAGGATCAAGAAGAATGGGAGGTATTTGTGAAATTTTGCACTTTTTTTATGCATCAACGCAATATTTTTGTTTCGTTTGATCACTTAGTTCTCTCGCTTTTTTTTTTTTTTTTCGCAGGAAGCAGTTGCTGAAGTGATGGCGCAAGCTCCACTTATTAAAGAGATTGTTGATCACTACAGTGGTCCTGATCGTGTAACTGCTAAGAAACAGAACGAGGAACTCGATAGAATTGCTACAACAATTCCCAAAAGTGCACCTGATTCTGTGAAATGCTTTGCAGATCGTGCAGCGCTTAGTCTTAAGGTTCGATCTCTCTGACCTCTCTCCTCAAAATCTTTCATCTTAACATTACTCTCTTTAATCAGATATCTTTAAAGAGGTATTGATATGTTCTGAAACTTGAAATGCAGAGTAATCCTGGTTGGGGATTTGACAAGAAATATAAGTTTATGGACAAGCTCGTTTTAGAGGTGTCGCAGAGCTACAAATAGAGTACTAAGGTTTCAAACTTCTTTTAAAAGCTTCATCGCCGCGTGTGAGTGTAGATCTTATTCATGATCTTACATCTACTTAAAACGGTACCCATTTATTTTAAACAAGTACTGGAAAATTGGGCTTTTAGCTTTTTTTCATCATACGTTTTTCAGGGTAACCGTAATAAACGGCATTGTTCTTTCGATCTTTGTAACTTAAGAGATTATGCTGTGTCCTTTTGTAATGGATTTTAAGATTCTTGACTGTTTTTGGGGTTCTAACACATGCCTTAAACCCAATAGACAAGCACCGACCGGAAAAAGAGCGATTAGAATGTGATTGTCCCTTGCGATATCTCTGTAAAAGTATAGTCACTTATGATTATTGCAGCTGCGATTGTGGCCGCTGCTTCAACTGCTGTTATAGCGGTTGCGGTGATGTAACTAGATGGTCTGAAATGTCTTTGATCGTCTCTTTCTTTTCTTCTTACTTAGCACGAGACAAGCGTTGCGTGGTCCGAGTTATATTACCACAATGTGTCATCTTATTATACATAAATATAGTATTAGCAATTAGCTTTAATATATATTTGGATAATATAGTCAAAGAGAGTTTATTATTCTTTCTACAATTTTGCTTGGATTTATACATTTTGAATGGTTTCCTTATGAATTTGAAAGAAATAACGGTTTCATTCACTAGAAGAATCGAAAATTCTGTGGCAATTTCCTGTTTTGTTTAATAACAAAAAGGTTATGAAGATGTCGTAAGCTTATATATACAAAGTCAAAGCATATTGAGGCATATTTATATGTAAATTAAAAGGACATTCATTCAAATTTGTATCATTATACATTCGTATATTGTCTACACAAAAGAAGCTTAACTTGTGACTGAGTTTTGGCTGTACGATCGATCTCGATGGTTCAGATGTTATGCGGTTTCCTTAGCCGGAAGAAGAAAAAGCCTTCTTCGTCATCGCCGTCTTCTTCTCCGTCCAAGGATTTGAAAAATGGTAAAACGGGAAAGAAAGATGGAGGGCTTCGTGTGATGACGACGGGTACTAAGACAACCACTAGTCGGGCTTTTAGCCGCGGCAAAGGCT